ATATCACAAAAAGTGTTTTAAGAAAGTAATTTAAACAATGCACGGTAATATTGTTATCTGATTTTCTTTTGCTCTGACAGACTGGCACCTTATTGCCCTTTGAAATTCTCCAGCTCGTCGAACATACCCAAATGCGCTTTCTGTGTTCTAAAGTAATTTTATAAATATAGCTCAATATATGTGTGCACATATCAAACGGACCATGGATTGCCCCATTTCTTAGACGACTCTTTATTGAAATGCCAAAGTAAAATATGTTTCACAGCTTCTAACTGAGTGTCTTGCTGCGGGTCTTCTCCTTGGAACTGCGCCTGGAACCGGAAGATCGTCTGGACGAAGATTTGTCGCTGCTGCCGGAGATTCTCATTGGCTTCTTGCGAACCCAGAACTTGAGGGCAAAGACGAGTTCCGCCTTAAAAGCCTGCCAGGGGGTTACTCGCTCCTCCACCGCCACGTTTTGCACGTTCCATAGAAACTCAAAGATGCCCAGGATCACGCCGGTTAGAACACCACCGGCCAGTACAAGGAATACGCCGCCCAGCTCAATAATGGACAACTCATCGCCATCCACCTCGTGAAAGGCTTCACAGGTGACATTATGTTTCTTCCACCACTTGTTTTTCATCCTATACAGCTCGCCCTTTTCACTCAGCTGGAGAATGGAGACGCTAAGATTGGTTCGGTAATCAGCTCCTATTAAAAAGATTAAAGAAATATCATAGAAATCATGTTTCCCACTTCATTACTTACCCAATGGAACGGCGAGTCCGTAGTGCTTCTCTCCAATCTGTTCGCCAATCTGAGTAAGATCGCAATTCCTTTCAATGTTGTATGTCAGACTGGTTGTCTCCATAAGGAACGCATAATCGCCCTTCTCCTTGCGCACTCGGGCCACGCCCTCTTTATTGGTGCTAGTAAAGGCGGATGGATTGAAGTCCTTCATCTGGTTCCAGGCCCGCTGGTAATCAGTGTCATTGGACTCGGAGAAGAACAACGAGGTGCTACCACCTCGCATGCTCCCAAAGGCAACCTCGTCCTGTTCGATGAGGTCCTGCAGGCTCTTTATGCTGCTCTGCCACTTGTTGCTGGTTAAGAAGGCAGCCAAGTTTGCCGTGTAGGTACTGAGCATCATCAAAGCGAAGAACCACCACATTCCCGTGAGAATACGCATGTGGGGTCCTCTGTAAATGTTATATGTAGAATGGAAAATTAGCAATTTGGAATATTTCTTATACCTAATATAGATAGAGTTATATAAAAAACAAAATTAACGTCGATAGAAAAGAAATCCGTTCTGTCGAGCTTCCAAACACAAATTTTCATAATATAGAGACTTCATATCTCTATTTGAAGATCAGTCTATCTCATATACTTTCATTAACAAACTTGAAAATACCCTTGTCTTAAATTTAAGAATGTTTCTCCTCAAACAAGGGAGAAAATTTCTCAATTTTGAAATGGGTTAAATATGTGAAATCTTTGATAGTCTTGTTCAAATGATTTTACCGAATAAAAATTTTAAGAAGACTATTATAATTTCCTTATATCATGGTAATAATATAAGTAGTAAATTCTTTTAATAAACAATCTCCGACCTAGGTAGAATATCACAACCCTGTTGCATAATAGAGCCCACCATCAGCCATGTCGAGTTGTTGACATTCCATATATTCTCCAATTCATCTGGATCCTGAATAGCGGGATTCGGTGGCAACCATTCGCGATAAGAAAGCCTGCAAAAAATATATTAAACACTTTCAACACCGAATTAGTTTAGAGAGACCGCTAACCTGGCGATAAAAACAAATGCCAGAGTCATGATCAACTGAGCAAAGATCATATAAATCCAGACCTCCTTAGCAAAGGGTTCCAAGAAGGCAAACTGATTCTTTGGTTCCGGAGGGCTCTTGTAGTGCAGAATACTAATGCCCAACTGCATAAAGGGCACCGTAAAGTCCACTACAGAACGTCGAAGTTGGGTGATTGTCAGGTCGCAGACGCCAATTTGGGCATGCTGAGGGATAAGTAAAATAATTATTTAACATAGGAGTTACTTTTTTGAAGAAACCTACGTGGTCTATGAGTTTTCGTATAATCCCATCCCACTGCTTGGTCTCTGGGTTATATTTTCCATTGCCATTGACGATCATGAACTCGTAATCGAAATCCAATAGCTCAGACAGTTTTCTTATGAGATCCACCGCATAGCCCTCGTATTTTTCTCTTCCTCTAAAGTTCTCGTGATCCTCTCTAGCGGAAAGGAAGAAGTACTATAATCTGCAGGGTATTGACTATATGATCCAAACTAACTTCATCATAAAGTAGGGCTCCTCGTAGTGCGTTACCACAGTGTAAACCTTGCGCTGCACTGAGAAATCCTGAGTAGTGCCGCCACTATCTAGTTCCAGGCTGAGGCGACGTGTCTTTATCCCATTGTCAGGCGTCCAGATCATCATGGGTTCGTTCACGGTCGGCTTGTAGATCTCGAGATTGAAGTTGGTTCGCTGCCCGTTTTCGTTCAGCCCCATATTCTCGGTCTTAAAGCGCGGTTCCACATCATCCTCGGAAATCGTCTTCATTTCGTTGACGATAAATGGTCCCAGCATCCAGGGTGAAGAACTGCCACAATGCCGATTTGGTGGATGGTAGGGCTGCATGGCAGCAATAACATTTCGGGCCGAACTGGCAAATAGGACCACAGCATCGAAGATGAGAATGGGCAGCATAGTTTGGTTTCCCAAAATTTGCTAAGAAATACACCAAATTAGTTTTAAGTTTTTGAGAATTTGGTATACCACTTACATCCACCATGGTTATACGGGTCTTTTTTCTTTCAAACGGATTTGGGTCAACTGTTTTTATTCTCACTGAGGTTATATTGGCCTTGAAGTCTTCATTATAAATATCCCTCAGTCCGGAACTGTGCGTGTCCAGATGGGTGAGAAACCAGTTCTGAAAATGGTTTTTTTGATCAATTCTTTTTGTTTTTGAATCTTTGTTCAAACAATTTACCCTAAATGGTCCTTGCAGCTTGAAATCCATGGAAATCTTTAGTAGCTCCTTTAAAGTTTTCGGCTCACAGTCCAGAATAATGCGCTGCTCATGAAAGGTCTCATCTGCTTCCTTCCACAAAACTCTGTAGTCACCTGCATAGTCTGCCAAATTTCGGAGCTTGACATAGTCACTGTTGAGAGCTTGAATGTTCATCAGATCCTGAAGACGTGCGAGACCTAACAGATATAGAAAATTATAATATGATAACTAAAGTTTCAATATTTTCGATAAGATTCAGTTATAACTAATGGACTCTGCTTATGACATTTTGTAACTGACTATTCATAAAAAATATTAACTGTACTTTCTTAATTTACTTAATACGATCTTTTTAAAATAGTACTATATTACCCATACTTCTTTGACTTTCTTAAATTTTTATTACAGATTTCCCCATTTAATTAAGGTATTTCCAATTAAGGTATACAGCTGCTCTAAACATAAGTATATATATTATACCATATCTTAGATCCTAACCCATTACTTACCCTCAGGCGTCTCATAGATCAATGTGAAGGTGCGCCATTCGTAGTTGGTTTTGATGATCTCAAAGTAGGCTCGTGATAAGACGGACAGTGAGGGTGCCACATTAACGGACATCTGGTGGTTGAGGTGCTCCTGCCGAGTAGCCTCCAACTTTAAATCGTACTCTATATGGGGAATGCCGGTCGTGTTTGCGATTTGCGCAACAATATCTGTGATATAAAGGGAAGCATCGTCACATCGCGAACATATGTTCCTAGCCATACCCTCTCTCTTTCTATGAGCATTGCGTACCACTAGCTGCCTTTGAACTTGGTCCGAAAATAGCCGCAACGCCATTGGAAATCAGCTCACACGCTACACACGGAAGATGAATTTCTCAAAACTTTGTTTTTGGAAAAACTGCTGATATTTACTTACTAATCTGCTGCAGAAGAAAACTATCGTTGGTGGGCATAAATCGCTTGATGGTTACGAATCGCAACTCGGCGAACTTTAAATTGTTGACCTCCCGAAAGGCCTGATCGAAGCTGAGTTCGATATCCTTTTCATTTTCATAGAAAATAGCACCTTAGATAGCAAAATATTAAGCATTTAGCTATTACTGATTGTCAAGTGAAACCTACCCACTGTGATTTCATTGCGACCATCACCGTCAATGGCGCGAATAGCATCGAAAAAGGCGATTATAATTATGAATGCATAAATGCGGACTGGACCGAAATGCATTTTTCTTTCCTCCAAATACTTGATTACCTCAAAACACTCGAAACTAATTGAATTTTCTAAATGCAGCAGCCATTTCGTATTCACTTCTGAACTGCATATGTACAAATCTATATCTATATCTACAAAAGGCACACACACACACAAACGGGCACGAAGAAAAATCAAGTTAAATACAAAGTGGTGTGTTCTTGAGAATTTATTTATTCACGCAACGGAAGCACCCAGTCTTGGAGCGCTATGCACGCCTACTGACTGCCGGATAGACTAGTACTGAACTCAGCCAGGGGATCTCTCTCCAGTCTTTGAAGACTGACGGAGAGTAAGTCCATCCCACTCCTCGTATACGCAACGTGCTCTGAGTCTTTTCCACATTTCGTATACGCAACGTTCTCTCGCGGTATTCTTTATGGCGCCTGTCCATGACGTCGACGGCATCAGTCAGTCTGGCCGGCCATTAGGCACTTCCTCAAGATTTTCCTCTCAATTGTTTTTCCTCTTTGCGATTTCGAGCCAACTATTTGATGATCGTGATATTGTTTTGGTTTCTGAAATGTTTTTTTCGTCTTCCTCTTGAAGTGTTTTTGTGTACCATTATGTGTGGAACTGTAGGGTATTTGGGTTCTGCTTGAAAACATGATACAATTTACCTTAGCGGTGAGTCTAAAGTAAAGCCCTTTCATATTTCAATTATAATCTGTTATGACTGGCAATAAAAAATTCACTTTGAATTTCTAATATATCAATCACAAATCACATCTTGCGACGTATACGATGATCGTATATGACAGCAGATCCGTGTTTTGGCGACTCTATAAATGTGCATAATGAATGCTCTTCGGTTATATACTTTTCTATAGTGAGTATAGAACCATCGCCCTTGTACAAGAAGCTCAAGCCCTTGACAGCATCTGGGATAATTTTGTAGTTATCCGAGTCGTTGTAAAAAACCTTGCCATTGTTCCACGAGATGTAGCTCAAATCCTGTTGATCTGGTTCGAGGCGTCGGTGACCTGCGAATATTTCTGCCCATGGGTGACTTTTGACCCCAACGGTCTTAAAACAACGTAAACTCTGCTCCAAGTCGATGTAGCCAGACACGCTAAAACCTTTCGAATCACGTGTGCTCACGAAGATTATGGTCTAGAAGTAAGGGTATAAACATTAGCTAGTAGTTGATATTTGGAAAAGTACAATATGATCTTAGGGTGATACTTTTAATTTATTGAAAAAAATGTGTTACTAAAGAATATTTACCTTAACTTAGTTTAGTAAATATTGGTTTCTAAAAAATGTGATATTTTTATAAAATGAGGAAAGCACACTTTGTAAACTTTGAAATGGTGACCATAAACTTAAATTGTTAAAAAAACAAGAACCAGATTTCAATTTACTTTTAATTGTTTTTCCCCCAGCATTTGTTATCATATATTATATGTCATATATTGTATGTTAAAGATACGATCGAAATTTGTACCTCGCTACGAGATATTTCCGCTTAAATATTATAATGCGACTATATTATACATCGATTATATCTTACCGAAAGTGTTTTAAATGCATTTGGCTTTTCGCGCTCGGCAAGAGCTATGGTCAACGGGTCGTTGGCTATATTTTGCTCGCTGAAATAGAAGAACGATCCCAGGGGAGAAAAGTGGGCATCCTTGAACTGGGAGGGTGTCATCACAATAGTTCCCACTGTGGACCTCAAGCGAACTAGTTGCTGAATTGCCCTATCGTTGGGAAGATACCGTCTGTCCTCCATTTTAATGAACGAATTTAGATAGTTATCGTAGGCTCTACAACGTATTGTATCCATAGTATTTCTCCTTTTCCCATCCTTCCCAGTTTGAATTTTCCTTGTACCTTGGGATTTCAGCTGCGAGTCGCCAAGGCGCAGTCCCTTTTCCTCCATTCTTGCTGTTGTTTATTTTCTAGTGTAATGTTTGACAGTCAAACAAAATGTAAATATATATCAAAAATACATACACACACAAAACAATAACACTCTGTAAATAAAACACTCATATTTCGGGTGCATTTTCCCCTTTTCACACAAAGAGCTAGACATCGCTCTTGGCTGAAGTCCATCCAGACACCACATCACACCCACATTAAGATGGCCACACAGGGCAAGAACGTGGACTTCAGCGTTTTGGAGTTCGACAACTACAATGATTATATTACATCGTTTGCCAACGTCAAGGACTACAGATATCTGAGCAATCAGAACACTATCAAGACCATCGTTCAGCTGGGCTACCGCACCACAAAGATTCCCTATACCTCAGAGGAATATGTGAAGAGGGTGGATATAGCTTTGGAGGCTATAAGGCCAAAGACAGCCCATGTGGGCCTTTTCAGCGATCTTATGGCGCCAACAAACAAAGACCCAGTGCTACTTGAGTTCAAATCCCGAGAACTGCTCAACTTGAACAAGATTCTTTCGGTGAGTTCTATAATATATATAATATAACATAATATTATATAATATTATTTCAGACCATTGTCTTTACCTCGTACATCCATATCGACGGTTCGGAGATCTCCGGCTACATAGATCTGGACATGAGTTGGCGTAACTGCTACCGCGAGGCCATGAAACATACCGATTGGCGGGGAGTATTTACAGGTCGATCCCGTCTAAAGCCTATGCCACACCATCTTAGTTATTCTAACCCTCGCTATAACCTGGTTAAGTACACCAATAGCGATAACTACCAGGTGATGCACGATCACCACTATGGACTGATGTTCATGCATCGGGGCGATCACAAAATGATATCGGTGGGCGGGCAGTTCAACAGGTATTCAAGCAATGCCAAGCGTTCGATGGTCTACTCTCCAAAATTCGGCTATGTTGTCTTCTACGATCACTTTGTGCGCAAGAAGGTGTAGATCTTAAAGTCAAGATACCCTGTATCAAAATTATGTCGGTGATTTGCATTTTAAAGTGTCAATAGAATTTAAATAAAGCCAAAGAAATTTTGGACTAAGGATCCTCAACCATGCCAATCATAATATTGGCCTTTAAAAACAACGAAGCCTTAACTAATGCTAGGAATTACTAATTCTTTCTAATTTCACAATAAATTGTTTTATTCTGTTTGTTGATATTAAAGAAAACATTTTAATGCTTTCTACTCTTCAAAAAAGGTGTTTTTAAGTTAAGTAATCTACTAAATTAAGGAAAAGTTAACAGAAACGTAGAATATATAGTGAAAATTGATAACCCATTTTTTATAATTGAGAAGATGAGCGTGTTGGACCATTAAAAGGTTTTTAAGAGTATATTATGCGCCATAAAACTAGCAATAAATCATAATATTAAGGGCACATCATTCTATCTGAGAGGGGAAGAATCTTAAGAAGCTCTAAGATTTTAAATACGATGAAATTTAAAATTTGTACTTTGTCATAAATCATAGTGGAAGAACCCACTTTATTGGCACCGTTTCAAGTGAGAGCAAAAACATGCTGCCTATTGCTCTATGAACAATTAATATTGTTTAGAATATGCTGAGCAAAACAAACTGCATTGGACCCTCTCTCGGGATCTTATTCGCTCGTGCGTCTTTAAAATTAGCATAGCTCTTCGATTGTGTTCTCATTTCATATGTCGCCATTCCGTAGCTCATTGCATTGCAGACCTCCGAACATCACAGTTGAAACAGTAGAAAGTGGGCGAAAATTGTATTCGGGAGCTTTACATCATCAGCAAAAACCAGCCAATTTAGGCAGTTTCTTTTAATGGATATCTCCTAGTTATAAAATGCAAAATGTATTTGGTATTCGTTGCGCATATCCTAATGATTGTGTCCCCAGCAGTCGCTGATAGGAATCAGTTTATGGTGGGTAAGTGCTTTAAAATTAGGTCACTGTCTCGACTGCGGACATTCGGATGCAATTTTCGCACATTTTCTAGGTAGCATCTTTACATCAGACAAAGATGAATCGGAAATTGCATTCCGAACCGCCGTGGACCGTGCAAATATATTGGAGCGGAGCATAGAACTTGTTCCAATTGTTATGTATGCCAACACGGATGATAGTTTCATCATGGAAAAAATGGGTGAGAACCAAAATGGGATCTTTAAAATGCTTCAAACCCTTTACAAAATTCTATTTTAGTTTGCAATTTGATTTCTCAAGGAGTAATTGCCATTTTCGGACCCAGTACGGGCAGCAGTTCTGGCAAGTATTAACTATTGAAAATAAATGTATTCAAATACTAAAGTCCCTTTACTTTATGCAGACATAATTGCCTCCATATGTGACACTCTTGATATACCACACATAGTATATGACTGGATACCCAATGAATCCATACCAGATCGAGAGCACTCTTCGATGACCCTTAATGTTCATCCCGATAACCTCTTGTTATCCCAGGGACTTGCAGAGATTGTGCAGAGCTTTGGCTGGCGTAGTTTTACGGTTGTCTATGAGTCCGATAGAGGTGGGTTCTAAAATAAAAACCGCGATGAAAATTCTAATTTTGTTCACATCTAGAACTTCAACAACTTCAGGATATTTTGCAAGTCGGTGAGCCGAGCAGCAATCCAACAACAGTAAAACAACTGGGACCAGATGACGATCATAGGCCATTTCTGAAGGAAATTAAACTATCCACCGATAACTGCCTTATTCTGCACTGTGCCCCAGACAATCTATTGAAAATATTGGAACAAGCTAATGAACTGAAAATGTTGGGCGAGTATCAGGTTTGTATTTAACATAAATGAAAGAAATAATATAATTTTTCATACCACCTTTTTTTAGAGCGTTTTCATACCGCATCTGGATACACATTCAATCGATTTTGGCGATCTTTCTGGTGTCGATGCCAACATCACCGTGGTGCGAATAATGGATCCTACCGATTTCCATGTCAAAAACGTTGTGCACGACTGGGAGGAGCGGGAGAAACGCGAGGGGCGGTACTTTAAAGTCGAGTCAGATCGGGTAAAAACTCAGATGATACTGATCAACGATGCCGTTTGGCTGTTCTCCAAGGGACTTACTGAGCTGGGAATTTTTGAGGAGCTCACAGCCCCTGAACTAGAATGCAGGCGAAAGAAACCCTGGCCATTTGGTAAACGCATTATTGAATTTATGAAAGCGGTAAGTTAAATTAAAATTAGGAATGGAGAAGATTCAATGTTTTCAAATTGAGAACTCGTCCTCTCATTTAATCAAGGAGAAATGTTCTTGAAATCAAGAAAAATATACTCTTGATTTTGTTTTTCAAGATAAAGCAACCTTTTTTGGAGACGAAAGGAGTATCTCAAACCGAAAACACTTAAACTAGATTTAAAAAATTTTAAAAATCCTTGATCACTTTTGAGATTGTGAGAACGGGTTATGTACAACTGTGTTGCTGGGGATCTCTTGATTTCTTAAGTTGTCTATATTTATATGTATATATATCATTAAACCCATCTCAGAACCACTCTCATAAATATCTTATGACTTATAATATTTTAATTCTTTTCAGCGCTCCGAGGAGACTTCCACGGGTCGAATTGACTTCAATGAGAATGGTCAGAGAAGCTTCTTCACGCTGCGATTCATGGAATTAAATGCTGGCGGCTTTTTGGATTTAGCCACTTGGGATCCGGTGAACGGGTTAGATGTGCTCGGTGACGAAGAAGAGAGCGAGAAAAGAGTAGGCCAAAAGCTGTCCAATAAAACCTTCATAGTGTCCTCCCGCCTGGGAGCCCCATTTCTAACGCTTCGAGAAGCGGAAGAAGGGGAAATCCTAAGGGGAAACGCCCGATACGAAGGCTACTCCATAGACTTGATCGATGAAATTGCAAAAATGCTGAATTTCAAGTACGAATTTCGAATGTCGCCAGACGGCAAGTACGGAGCTCTCAACAAGGTGACCCAGACTTGGGATGGTATTGTAAGGCAACTTATTGATGGGGTAGGTAAAGTAGCAAGTTTTAAGATTTCTCTTTCTTGAAGCTTAATAAAAGATTACATGTAAATAGATATAGATATTGTGCATGGAACAATATGATACCCTTAGAAAAAACCAAACTTCTAACTGATATTACTAAAACCTTCTCAAATGATCTTTTCTACTTCTTCCTGTTCTTTAGAATGCTGATCTTGGAATCTGCGACTTGACGATGACATCTTCCCGACGCCAGGCCGTTGACTTTACACCCCCTTTCATGACCCTGGGAATCAGTATATTGTTTTCTAAACCTCCCACACCACCCACCGATCTTTTCTCATTTTTGTCTCCATTCTCCTTGGATGTATGGATCTATATGGGATCTGCTTATCTGTTCATTTCTTCGCTCCTTTTCGCACTGGCTCGAATGGCGCCTGACGATTGGGAAAATCCACATCCCTGCAAGGAGCCCGAAGAGGTGGAGAACATATGGTCTATTATGAACACCACATGGCTTTCGATCGGCTCATTGATGGGACAGGGCTGTGACATCCTGCCAAAGTAAGAGGAGGTTCCCAAACCAGCGAGTTCTTTATTCTAAAAAATCATTATTTTTCAGGGCTGCTTCAACCAGATTGGTCACCGGAATGTGGTGGTTCTTCGCTCTGATGATGCTGAACTCCTACACAGCCAACTTGGCTGCCTTTCTAACCAATTCCCGTCAGGGGAATTCCATCAGCAGTGCCGAGGATCTGGCTGCCCAGAACAAAATAAAATACGGTGCCATGGCCGGTGGTTCCACAATGGGTTTCTTTCGGGACTCGAACTTTAGCACTTACCAAAAAATGTGGACTGCCATGGAAAGCGCCAGTCCCTCGGTTTTCACAAAAACCAACGATGAGGGAGTTGAGAGGGTTCAGAAGGGCAAGAATCTGTACGCCTTCATGATGGAATCCACCACCTTGGAGTACAATGTGGAACGGAAGTGCGATCTGGTGCAGATCGGTGGATGGCTAGACTACAAGAGCTACGGCATCGCTATGCCCTTCAGTGAGTGTTGACTGAAATTTACATTCCCTTTTAAGAATTATTAAATAAGAATATGGATTTATATTATATATGATGTTATATTTATATATTTTTAGATTCCCCATATCGCAAACAGATCAGTGGGGCAGTATTAAAATTGGGTGAACTGGGACAGCTGGCGGAACTAAAAAGAAAGTGGTGGAAGGAGATGCACGGCGGTGGAAACTGCGAAAAGAGCGACGATGAAGGCGGAGACACACCTGAACTGGGTTTGGAGAACGTGGGTGGTGTCTTCCTGGTGCTGGGACTCGGTTTGTTTGCAGCCATGGTCCTTGGATGTACGGAGTTCCTGTGGAACGTGAAAACTGTAGCTATCGAAGAAAAGGTAGTTTATGCTAAGGCTAAACCGCATCAGGGGCTTACAATTTTATATTCAAACCTTTTTTTAATACTTTTTATATTTTAATCTCGTTTCTTGGATCAAAAATGGTCTTGTATGTTGTTTAATGGTATAAAACACACAGATTTTAAAGACTATTGTTAAAAACTAAAGCCTTATGACCCTTGCTTTATTTTAGACTTACTAATTTGTTTGAAAAAGTGCTGGCATGATTTAATATATAATTAACTTCTTTACAGATCTCGCTAAAAGATGCTTTTAAATCAGAGGCAATGTTTGCGGCCCAAATTTGGATAACTACAAAACCAGTACATGCAAGTTCTGGCTCGGGCAGCTCATCTTCGTCCAGTTCCAGTTCAAGTCGCACCAAGCATTCTTCAAAGTCGCACGGCTTGTCTATGAAAAGTCTCAAGAGTTCTGGAGATCATGACGTAGAGGCATCGGTTCACAGTAAATTGAAGAAAATCGGTTCTATGTTCTCACTAAAATCACAGAAGACAACCACTCCGCCGCCACCAGAGATCGGCTGGAAAATCGACAAGTCAACGCAAATGGATGAAGATGAAGTACCAACTCCTGAAGCGGAACCCGAATTGATCCCGGAGGAAGAGCCAGAGCAACCGCAACATCGGCATCGTCATCACCATCATCATCATCGCCACCATCACCATCATCAGCAAGCAGATCAGGAGCATGACGATGAAGAATAATAACGTTTGCCCAAAAATTAAAGTCAACAACCAACTTTGTTAAGCGAAAAAAATAGAACATCCTTCGTTATATAAGCATGGTTTCGATTTCCTCTATACCTAACATCACCTCATTCATTTGAAATTCACAGAGTTCAGCATTTAACGTAAATTGTTTAAAGTATATTATGCTATCCGAAACTTCTTTATCCATATGTATTGCATATTTTAGCGGCTCACCCAGCTTAACCCATTTTCGTAAATTCCTAAAAAGTTTCTGAAAAATGTAACACTTTTTATCCGACGTTATTAATAAATTATAAACATTTCAAAAAGGTTTTATTTTAAAAATCCAAAAACATCAATTTAAATGGAATTATATATTATTAAACCCTTGTAGAGATAGAATACTTTTGATCAAAAGTTTGTAAAGCAAAGTCGTAACGTTTCCGACCCTATATATGATATAATGTTCTTGTCTCAATTGAATACCCACCGGACCCTGTGGCGTGGACTTCTGATAAATATTCTCATGCTTCCAGAACAGCGTCTACTTCCTCGGAGATAACGACGATGGGTTAGGTGATTCGTTGGAAACGGGTGCTATTTTAATTAGTGGACACAAAGCCGATCTGACGGATGAGGTGATGACCCCCATGAATAACTTTTTTGTGCCATATATGTGTCATATTTGTGTCGCAGTCAACTTTAATAATAAGTCATAAGTCATCACCATCTAAAAAAATAAAAACAAAAAGCTATTATTGATTATTGAGTAAATCATAAAAATGATTAAAGTAAAATGCAAACGATTTTCTCAGATAAAAAACGTTTATCATATCGCATGATTTTTAAAAATGTATGGGTCCCTTTGGGAATCTCAATCGATTTTAGAACTGCGCATAATAAAGAATTTTTTAATTTGGTTTTTGCTTTTAACGTTAGATATAACTCTTGTTATTGTCAAATATTGAAAATGGATGCGGTGTTTAGTCTATAGATGCGACTTTTTCTATGAAATCCGAAGCTCTATTAAAAAAAACTGACTTTAAAATCAAGCGTTACCAATGCATTTTCAAACACAGTCTCCTACTTTTCTTGCGTAAAAAATATATCTTAAAACAAAAACGATTATTTCTAGGGTTTTTTAATTTTTATTTGATTTTATTTTTTATGGTTTTTTGGTTGTTTTTGGTTTTTTTTTGTTTTTGTTAAATGATTTTTTTATTATTTTTACGTACATACATGATTTAAACATATTGCTAGGTATTTTCGAAAAGTTTTTGAATTCAAATTCCTCTAGTAATTAAGTTGTCCTATTTAAGTCATATTTAAAATTATTTCATAAGAATACTTAAAATTTCCACTTCTACTCTTTTTTGCTTTAAATATTTATAATATTTACGATATTTTTCCATAATATTATTAATTTTTTTTGCAAAGCTAATTGAATACGTTTGTTATTTCTCTCCACTTTAAGGTACATTATTTGTTGCTTTTCTTCGTTTCCGTTCTTTGTTTGTTTTTTTTTTTAGCGTCTTTCGCAATTTTTATACATTCTTTTATTCTTAACTATTATTATATACTTATGCCTAAGTTGGTATAATACAAAAATACAGAGTTTGAGTAATTGCATAGGATATAATCCGGTTAGACATTAGGACAAAAATAAATTATCAGGATGAGAAAAATAATTGTTATTGTTTCAGATACTTTCTTTCATATATACAGCTTTGGAAAAAAATTAAAAGTAATTAAATTATATTATATTAATTGAAATACTTTTTTTTAGAGTATTTTTGCTTCCATTTAGAACTTAGGGTACATATGTCATAACTTTTCTTTGAGGGTATTTTTCTAAGGTTGGTTCCTTGGGGAATTTACTAAAATAGCTAATGTATCTGGTGTTTATCAACTATGACCATATCAATGTGGCTGCGACGGCGTAGTCAATCCTTGGCGGCAATGGCCACGGGCGGAAACTGTCGCTCATCGTAGAGCTTCGTTGGAGTGTCGATGGCATCGCAGAGCTTACGAAACTTGGCAGAATCTAAAAATTATAAGTGTTTTTAAGGGTTTTCTTTGAACATAACTATCTGTATAAGCTCACCTGACATGGCATCTGCCTGATCACCCTTCAGAATGCTCGCATAGCTGTTGTCCTGCATCGGATCCGGATTCTCGATGAGCACACTGGCCGCACAGCTCTTCAGCATCGTCAGCGAGGGCTGCGTCATAATCGTGGGATTTGTCGACTTGATCTGAGACCTCAGCACACTTTCACTCAGCTGCAACTCAATGATGTCCTCCAGGGCACCGCGCAAATCGTGGACAGACAACAGTTTGCAGGCCCCACCTCGATCCGCCAGGAACTCGTGCACGTAGAGGAAGCCATCCTCGCAGGCAATCAGTAGACGCAGCTCCTTCTGGACGCGGGTCAGGGCGCAAATGTGCTTCAGGCCACCCTGGGCCAGCTGCACTGTGGCAAAGGATCGATCCTGAGCCAAAACTTCGCTGACTTGCGTGGGCAACAGCAGCGAGGACACCGCCTTGGAAAAGATGCCGCCCCAGCTGGCGACGGGCGCAGGCTCCTCCGCAGCTGCTGTGGCAGCCACTGATTCCTTGGCGGAGCCTTCAGACTTGGCTGCCACATCCGCTGCAATGAGAAAGTATCTTTTAGTCTACAAGTACCAGGAATCCTTAAGATGTATCTCACCTATCGCCTTCAGCTCGGCCGCCTCCACTGCCCGCCCATCAATCTTGAAGACATGGACCGTCTCCGTGTTGGAGGAGGCGCACAGGAAGTCACCGCTGGCCGAGAAGACCAAGGAGGCAATGCGGACGCAGCTGACTCCCCGGCGGAACTCCTGCACCCTCTGGCCATTCTTGACGCAAAAGACCCGGATGACAGTGCCCCGCTCGGAGGCGGTGGCCAGCAGGGAGCCGCTGGGCGAGAAGGCCAGGGCGGAGAGGGGCGTGTCGTGGGCCCTGATGGTCATGCCCGTGCGCAGCTTGCTGGCATTGAAGATGCGCAGCTCACCGCTGGTTTGGCAGACGGGAAAGGCCAAGTGGGAGTTGAGGGAGAGGGCACACAGGCCCTGCTCATTCGGCGCAATGTTCTCGATGGAGTGCAGGATCTTCATGTCGCGGATGTCGTGGATGTGTATACTCTCCGCCAGGCAGACGATCAGCCGTTGCCGGTTCATGCGGACGCACAGGATCTCCGAGGGGTAGAAGCAGTTGCAGATGTCCTGCTTCTTCTTGAAGTGCAGCATCTTGAGGCAGTTGGGCTTCTGGGCGGTGACCAGCACCACCAGCGAGCTGTTGAACAGTCGCTCCACTATCCGGATCTGCTCCGTGTTGTCCTTGGCGAAGATCTCCTCCACCTTGTCCTGGCTGGCAATCGAGTACAGGCGCAGGCCAGTGGGACTCAGTACGGAGAGGGAGCTGTGGGGAAAAATAAATTATAAGCAAGAGTTCAGATTAAATAAGGTAGGTTACATATGTTGTCAGCTAATGTCCCATAAACCTTTATAAGTTTGGTAAACTTTTTAAAAATTGTATTATTAATTCGAACACCCATATATTTCCCACTTTTCTAACCAATCTGTGGTCGTTAAATTCTTGTATAAGTAAAGGTAAGTTTAAACTACATCCTAACCAACTTTTTAATGCCTATAACTCTTCTTTTTTTTAAGATTAATAATAATATTTCTCATATTAATTTAAAAAGCAATGCATTTCCCACTTTTCTAAATTATCAATGTCTTGTAAATTTATAAATAAAGGCATTTTTAAGCTACATTTTAATGACCTTTTTAAGTCAATTCCATTTGGTTTGCATTCATATTACAATTTATCAGACTTTATTTATTTTAAAATGGATTTTTAATTATTTTGTTAGCAAATTTGTTTAAATAAAGGTTTATTACATTTTCTAAATCTCTGAATTTAATGGATGTATGTACTTTGTGGACAAGAGTCCTATTTCTGTCGGCTAAAATATTGATCAGAGTGGTCTTTTTCAAATAAAGGTTTACAGTCCTTGCTCTTCCTAATAATATTATTCAAACCAGCAGTTAAGATCTATGGAACCACTATTGGTCGTAGTAGAACTCCTTGATTTCAACCAGTTTTTGGATCTAATATCTTCCATAATTACTACTAAATCGTCATATTTATTATTGAGATAGCCCTCTCGGGCTTCCAAAAATTGCCGTAGTGGACGGTATTTCACGTCCCCATGGCGGGGTATTGGTTAAAGTTTTCAACTAGCAATAACCGCACCTCAGTAGAACTTCATCGGTTACGGTATTGCCACTGCGCAAAGATAACCGTACACAGACATTCGACCTCCGCTCCATGCTGGCGGCGCTAGAAGCAGTTGGGAATTATATGCGCACACGCACGCGAAAATATCTCAAGCAACGAATTTGCAGCTGGCCAAAAGGTGCAGCATGCTTTTAGGCCCCTTTGTTCTTGTAGTTGTGATTTCAGCTGTGTGTTTGAACTGCTGCCGATGCACAAATTTATTTGGGGATGTTTCTTAAGGGTGGATTTCCTTGCAGGCGAGTTGAAGGTCATCGAAAGGGGCGCAACTGGACATTGCACAATCGTATAAAGAACATTTCGTCAGTATTCCATATTTTGATTTAAAAGTTCGCTAGGTTACGACTGATTTATTTTGTGTTTAGCCTTTAAAATAAAGATTATTGAAACGGTATTTAAAGGAGATATGCAACCACTTGTTGCAGTAGCAACAATGAAAGGTCTTACAAAAAGGGAAAACAACTTTCGTTTCAAGCCTATCAAAATAAAATTCTACGCTTTTTAAAGAAAAATTTTAATACTAAGACCGTTGAAAAATAAAAATAATTAGAAACAAACAGGCAAAATGTTTTATTTCCATTTAAACAATTTTAGTTAATATTTAAAATTATTCATTCCAAAATATCCCAAATAATAATATCCCATTAAGAAAAATTTATTTATAAATACATACATTAAAACATGCTTGCGAAATTTCTGTACCATTTATCAAGCTTTTATTTATTTTTCTACAAAAATTAAATTCCTTTAAAATCAAATAAATCTTATTTAAAAACAAGATGTTATAAAGACCAGAAATGACTGGTTTCGCCGGAACGCAAATAATTATTGTTAAAATAAATGTGCACATATTTAAGACTAGTCGCCAAAAATTGTAGTACGTTTCATTAAAAATAAATATTTCAAAGTTTCAGTTTCAAGCTTAGAAATGCAAATTAATTTACAACTATTTTGCAGTTGAACTTTGCATTTGAAATACCCTATTATTATGATCTCATCGTCTCATCTCTACCTCATTTCCTACTAAAACAATCTTGAGATCAAGCTTTGAACATATTCGAATTGCGCCATTGCACTTTGTACTTGGTGCCAATTGCCAGGTTGTAGTTCATCCCACTTCGATGCATTTATTATAAGAGGTCGCTAGGCGACAGCTGGGATTCTCCTTCCGCCAGATAAATGTGCATGGCCTTGAGGAGCAGTGCGATGCCCAGTTGCTTCTTCTGTTTCATCGTCCACGACTGGGCGGGCCCGTAGTAATCCCCACGCTTCAGGTTGGTGAGGTGCGTCAGGCCCAAGGCGTCTATAATAGCGGCCTCGCGCGTATACGCATCAATGGGCAAGATGTTGTGGAAGACGTGCAGACATACCACTCCACTGCCATGCTGCCAAATGTCCAGGATGCGCTCCAGCTTTCGGCTTCCCATTTTGCCATCACTCGGTGGCGGCGAGCGGAAAACATCTGGTTGAAGGGTGCGAAATCCACCACCACGATCCTTGTTCTTCTTGTCCTTATCCCGCTTCTGGTGGAGTCGAGTATGCTGACGCATGGCATCGTAGAGATGAGCATATGGCCGCGAGGACTTGCCCTTGCCCACGTAAAAAATGGAGTCAAGGAAACGTTGCCACACTCCGAACTTTTCGAGAAAAGCACTCTCGCCGGGCAGATTTCGGGAGATGCGCGGATCAATCAGCATGTAGATAAAGCTCTGCTTGAGGTGGCCCTCCCGCAGGTTCTTCTTTGGGACGCCGGACTTGGCGAAATGTGCTGCCGAGGCTGCCTCGTGCGGCAAGTATTCGCTGATACGGGCAAAGTCCTCCGGCGATCGGAGAGTGCGATGCAGCTCCACCGAGTACCGGATTTGCGCCTCCTGGGCGTGCTTTTGGGCGGCCAGTAGCGCCTCCGTATTCCGCTTGTACTTGATCAGCTGCTTGATGTACAACCGCTTGGTTGTCTTCGTAATGGGCCCAACCGGAGCACCCATTTGGGTCAACTCTCGGCGCAGGGCATCCGTTTCGTAGTCCAGTGGCAGGGTATGATTTGTGCTCACGGTGCTGTCCAAATCAGGCTTCTTCTCTTTGATAGCTTGGTCAGCCGGCTCCCGCTTATCGGCATTCTGTAGGAACTTGGCCTCGTAGAAGACTAAGCCATTCTCGTCGTCGGTGTGAACGTAGGCCTCCTTGATCTGCAGGAAGTACTCATCCTGGCGTGGGGAGTTATCCGAGGCGGCAGCCTCCTCCTCACCATGGGCTGTGAAGAAGCTGTGCTCTGGCTCCGGCTCTACGACCGCATGGGCGACCTGCTCCACCAGCAGCTCAAAGACCTGGCGACCTGAGCAAGGGGCATCCTCCCCCTGATCCTTGGGATTGTCTTCGCCGCGCAGCTGCTGTTGCAGGTGCTGCTCGTAGCTGAAGTCCTCCTGCCCGAGGGCCTCGTCCACCAGCGCCTCCACATGCTCGTCGTACTGATGGAGCAGGGATTGGCGGGCACGCGACCTTTCCACCTTCTCGCGCCAGCTCTCGATGAGGGTGCGCCGCTTTGGCTGATCGGGATCCTCAGGCTGGTTCTCCCGCTGGCTCTGGATGAGCTGCGTGAGATGGGCCTCGGTCAGGGCGAACAGGTTCACCGACTCCTCATCTGGCAGTGGGGGAATCTGTGTGCCATCGAATTCCTCCTCGGGTTCCGGAAACTTTGGCTGCGGCCGATGCCGCCTGTGGGTGATATTGATGTAATAAGGGGAGGTGACATCGTGGTTGTACCTCGGCTGATTGGGGGTCAGAGCGTCGACTCGCTGTTGCTGCTTTTGCTTCTTCTGGCGTTGCTTTTCGCGGAAGATGTGATCCCGCAGCAGTTGCAGCACCTCGAAGTGGCACTCCTCGATGGCATAGTGCACAGGCAGCTTGTTCTCCTCGTCGGCCAGATCCGCACGAGCTCCACGCTCCAGCAGCATCCTCACCAGCTCCGCCCGCCCATAGATGCTGGCGATGTGCAGCGCCGTCGTCTGGCCATCGCACAGGGCATCCACGTCGAGATCGGGGCACTCGAGGAACCGCTCCAGGATCCTCTGGGCAAGCTCCCCGTTCCGCATACCGCACACATAGTGCAGCGGGGCCAAACCGCGATCGCAGGGCACTATGCCAGCATTTATGCTATTCCTCTCCAGCATCGACATGATGTCCGACTCGTTCTCGTCCTCCAGGGCGTCCAGGAGGGTCAGGGCCAGGAAGTTGGCGCGCTGCTCCATCGCTGCTGCTCCGCGTATTGATTTTTACCCATTCACTCACTCGCTTGCTCCAATTGCAAACTGCAATCAATTACCAATTAAATCTATTCTCGACTTTTCAATGTCAGCGCACTGGAAAGTGGGGTTTCCAATGTATTTTATGATGTGAATCCAATGCTTATCTTAGCTTAGCAGGCCTTTTCCTCATTGCACACCCAAATTGGCTTGAAAACTATTTATATGTGTTTAAATTTTAATTTAATTCAAAAATATAAATAGGTTTCGATAACAAGAGGCGTTCTTCGATAGTTCGATGATTTCCAGTGCATTTTCCAGCGCTGCCACTTGCAATGATTTTGCAGTGCTGCCAGAAGCTTGGAATTCCAGTTGGTATTTTTTGGTGGCCTGTATTTTTTGAGCGCCACATTTAAAACCGGTTTTAATGTATGTCTTCCCATTCGTATTTTGGCACATAATTGGCTTACGAGCACGCTCTATGCGATAAAGCTTGCGTAGTAGCTTGATCTGTGTGAGCGCAACACGTGTTGTTGCTGTTTTTGATTTTGCCATTGGTTCTCTTGAAATTGAAACCGAAACTAGTTCCCGCCAAAGGCTGAAATAATGGGGCCCAAGGTCACTAGGCCCCTTGTTTTGTTATGCGATAGCGCGTTGAGGTCTCTAGTTTGTTGTTGTCCATTTTGAGCTATTATTGTTTTCGCGTTGTTAGTAAACAAACGCAGTGACTAACAAAAATAAGCGCTTACATTCGCAGTTTTTTTTGTATTACATAGGATCGAAAATGAGCCATACCATTTTGACAGCAGTCAAAAGTGCATTTACGGTCGTTTGCATTAAAAAATTTACGCTGAATGAGCAATTGCAGGTTATCAAATGAAAAACAACAAACACAAAAACAATGGTGACTCTCGCAAAAACAACCTTTATCAGATCACTTACAAAAAATAAAGAAAAAAAACACCTGTTAGCAGAGCTGAGAAATAAAGAAAAGAACATCTTTTGCTTCCAGGATTGAAACCAGTCTGTAGGTTGCCTGAGTACCCAGTTTAGATATTAGTTAGTATGTACGAAATAGTTCGTAAAATAAGTAAAAAGTGGGTAAAGGTTATAAGCCGTAATGGCAAGATAAACATAGAGAATATAGTCTTTCCATTTTTTGTAATTTAAAACATCCTTTAATAATTGTGGAATACTTATTTTCATATTAATATAGATGCCTCGTAATTAATTATTTTTCCGGCACAACAAAAACCAAAGGAAATGCCCTGAATGATAATGATAACATAATATTTTACGTCCATTCACCCATTCTGATTAGAAATTTCTCTGTTTTTTTTTTTCGCCCCAACGCAATTTTTGCCTCTCTATTCAAGTTTCTTTGTTCTCTTTTGGTCTATGACGCGCACCGATCAGCTGCCGATTTCATTGGATTGTTTATGTGTTTACTTTTTTCGATTTTCACCATGGGGTGTCATATTGACTGTTTTTGTTGCTTTCTTTCCTTTTTTACACAACGAATAAAACAAAAAACTGGAAAAAACGGTAGATTTGCACTTTAACCTATACCTTATTTTAAAAACTTAAATGACATCAGCATCAGCTGAGTGAAAATAAACGTAACTGTGCAATAGCAGAACAGGTTAATTAAGCCTGGGATTAAAGATTGTTCTTGTACACAGAAACAAAATGTCACGAGTTGCACGTTTAATTTTTGCCATTTCGGATATGGTTTTTTTCACTTTCTCTCTTTTGAATATATTCATAAGTCCAAAGAGTGAAAATAGCATGAAGACCACTTAAACTATTGTGATTAAAAGCGAGAAGGTCATGTTGTAACTACTTTATTTCGACCTGATACGAAATTTTATCATTTTGTTTGTATTACTTCTTATCAATATATTTTATCAAAGTAGTTAGTAGAAGCAAACACTATACTAAAAGACCTTTCCATTCATTACAAAATGTTTTCATTTGCTGATACGAAATTGTATCAAATATATGTATATTGTTTCTTATCAATATATTTATCAGAGGAGCTACAGTGCTCTCTAAAATGAGTAAAGATTTAACTAAATTCATGCATTTTGATCAAGCTGTTAAGAGATTGTATCAAAAAAAGTATGTATTAGAGTAGCTACAGTGTTTTCTAGAATGAGTAAAGACTTTATATTAAATCTTTCCGTTCAATAGGTACATTTTTTTGTTAAAAATTTTTTTTTTTAATTTTTTCGTAAACCAAAAATGGCTTAACTCATTTTGGAGAACACTGTAGCTACTCTAAAACATACTTTTTTTGATTTAAAAAAACATTTTTATTTGTTTATTGATGGTAGTAATTACTGTATGAATTTCCATTTTTTCCAGTGCACTTATTCTGACCGCAGATTTAACATGCATAGAGTATCGCGACATCAGCTGTTGCACATAAAGCCCGCGATTGGTGCCATTTTCGCAAGTGTGGGTTGAGAGGCTCACAAAGTGGCCATCAGAATGAGAATACTGCATTTAATGGGCCAGTGTTGGTAAGCGAGGTTAGGCCACCTATATTATATTCAACCCCAAGTTTTGTTGGGCAGTGTATTAAAAATTCCCTCCCCCGTGAAATTCTGAACGGGAACGGAATATTTCGTTATAGATGACTGCATGTCATTGTAATTGGGAACTGCTTGTTTGCATGTTCTAATAAACTAACAAACACACAAACAAATAAATGACGCCAATCCACGCTCACCCACAAACGGTTACAGCCCCCTTTCCACCCCCACAGCAGCTGTTTTCGCCTTGTTTATCCGTCTCATTTGTCGATTTTTGTATCTCAATTGTTAGCAGTGGTTTTGCCACTATTTTTTTGCCTTTTCGCTTTGATGACCTTCCTGGCTTGGAACCAAGGATTTTAGCACTATTGTTGCTACTTACGTAAAGTCCTGGTTGAAGTTCATCTGATATGTGGTCATTGTTGCTGGATTATTTTCTTCGTTTTTTTTTTGCTGATTGTATCTATTTATCTCGTTACACTTTCACTGGCCTTTGGATATTTTTGTATTTTTTTTCGCTGTATCTAAATGTTGTGTTCCACCGCTGGAGCACACAAAAAATACAAATCTACGCAGGCTGATGAGCAATGCGAATCGATTTGATTGGATTTCGTAAAGTTAAATTCGTTTGGTTTGCGTCGTCTTTGTTGTTTTGCTGCGAATGTTTTTCTCGTTCTATCTCAACAAATTACACACACAGAAATAAACAAATGGCTCATTGGAACTGGTTTCGGGAACTGAACTAGCTTTGGTTTCAAAAATACCAAATAAACCGTTAAGACGTTTGTATAACAGATATAGTTAGAAAAGTTAGTTTTCCACTACCACTGAAAAACCGTTAGAAATTATAATAGATCTTTGTATAATTATATTGATAGGAAGGAAGTCGTTTAAAACCGTTAGAAATGTTAGTTTGTGTTTAATTATGTCGATAGGAAGAAACCGTATAGCTTTAACGTAACAGAAAAATTCGTCGAAGCTTGAGAAAAAATATTGTTTTTAATTTTTTTAATTAATTTTTTTAAGCTTAAAGGGGAAAGGGAAAAGCTGAGATATATAATCATCAATCATTCGATTTTTATTTACATCAAGGTCTGCAACGTTTGCATAATAACAGTTTTGTACAATGAAATATTTGCAAAATGGCATCATGGTTTCTTTGCTCCATTGTGAAATTTCAAAAGAAAACTTACGAAATTAATTGTTTTCAGATTCTGTGTGATGTTTTGCAAATTTCCTTGGTAGTCAGACAAATAAGTAATTACAAGTTTTATTTTAGAAAATATCTATAATGATCGTAATAGTATTACTCTTTGAAACTTATGAAAACATTTTTAAATGTTCAATCTCCGAAAGCCAGTAAAGATACATAGAAAGGTCAACTCAATCCCATGATATTTAAAAAATCCTTTTCCGAGGAAAAACTGGTATGGTTACTTGCATTCAAAATGTGAAATTGCAGTGGACACGGACCAGAAAAAAAGTACTGCCAACTAGTTCGCATAGGCCAGAATAGTACCACTAACTGGTTCTTCACTGCAGTATTTTCGGGCAACGCGGACGCGGTCACACTGCAACTCTCAACAAAAAAATAAAGGCTTTTCTTTTGCTTTAAAATAGGATTTTTGCCTGTAAAAGCGCAGTTTTGCGTCCAGAAATATGAGTTCTCGACGCCTCGAAGTGCCGTGCAACCAGAGTGCTTGAACTTGGGCCAAATGCCTCGCGTTTTCAGTGCCTATTGTGCGGTTTAGCCAGTGTAGTATACAGCCCACGAACATTTTCACCCGTTCTCGGGACGCATGAAAAATGGCGGCGTCCTCAGCTGCTGCTGCTGCTGCTGCGGCTGCGGCGACCACCAATCCGATCCCGATTCCCATTCCGGCGGAGGCGATATCCGAGGAGTGCAAGGACGACGACGTCCTCACCTCCACGCTGCACACGTGCGCCAACGATCCGGATTTCGCCGTCATTTGCGCCTTCCTGCAGAAGTTCGCCAAGGATTTGGGCCTCAATTTGCCGAATTTCAAGCATTTGCAGGAGTGGTTGACAAACAACAACGAAGGTGAGTCGGTGTGCGTGTGTGTGTTTGGCGAGAGAGGGAGAGCCACAGAGAGAGAGTGGGGAAATTGAGGCAGAGATTTGCCAAATTAAGTTATGCCAGGTTGAATTATTGAAAACCCAGAAATTAGTGTTTTTAAATTGGTGTTGTGCGGAGGGTAACCCATTCTCTTTTAGTTTCACTTGGAGAGAGCGCTCGTTTGGCTTTGTGGTAGTAAAAAGAGAGTAAGAGAGAATGCAATCACAGAGAGAGAGAGAGAGAGTTTGTTTTCTTCTCCATCAACAAAAACAAATCGAGAGAGAAGTTAACATATCGTTTTAGTACCTCTTGTTTTCAAAGGATCCTCTATAAGTCTGGCAGTAACTTCGAAATATTTTGGAAATTGAGTATTTATTTCGTTTATTTTTACTTTTTTCTCTTCCTAAGACTAAAGTTTCAAATTAACTTTTCCATCTCATAATAATATAATTAAAAATTTAATTTGACAATTTTGTTAAAAAACTGTTAATTCCAAAAGTTCTTGAAATTTCTATGAATAATTTGTTTGTTTTACAGTGAATTCATATGTTTGAAGTTGAGTATATTTTTTTTGAAAAAGTTTTATAAAACAATTGGTACCTAAAATTTCTTTGTATCCTATTTCCACCATAAAAAAATCATAGGAATTAATTTATTGTTTTTTAAATAGATTTTGCAATTATTGTAAGAAAGAAATATTAAAAAAGTAAAAAATTCCATTTAATAATTGTTACCTAAAATTTCATTTAACCCTATTTCCCCCATGAAAAAAATATAATATGATTTCCCAATAATTAATAATAACTTATCATTGCAGTTCCCGAACTGAAGGACTTGCACATTAAGCTGCTGCGGAAAACCCGTAAGACGGTCCACGAGAAGAGCTGGGAATCGGCCCTCAGCAAATTCTGCTTCGGTTATTCAATACAAGATGCCTGGGAAATTGAGCGATTCGGTTACAAGAACTCCAGCTTGAAAGTCAAGCTAAGAATATTTAGGGTAAGATACAAATGTCAGACTATGAACTACCATTAATCAACTAACAATTATCCTTACAGGAACTCCTCGAAAGTCAGTTCGAGCGCAATGTTAAATTCCGAAGCCACGTCCTTACTTTAAATGCGAACACCCTGCGCTCGGAGCCTATTGGGCGAGATCGGTTGGGCCACGCCTACTGGCTGACCCAGGATGCGGACTGCAACCTGCGTGTCTATCAGGAGCATCTGGACGAGGAGATCTGGCAGGTGGTGGCCACGAACCGGGAAGAGTTCGTCAACCTCATTGCCAGGCTGCGGGGAAACGAGGTGGTGCTGCCCTCAAAGGACATTGGCGAGGCCGACGAGGACACCAGCAGCAGCAACAGTTGTCCCGCCAAGCCACCGCCCCCAGAGGAAAGGGAAGAGGAGGATGAGGAGGAAGAGGGAGGGGAAGACGAAGAGGAACCCGTGAAAACGGTGCCCAATCTGAAGATTAAACTCCGCTCTCCCGAGCAAGAGGAGCCAAAGTCCAAAAGGGTCAAGGTGTGTATCCACAAATTCAATCAATTAAGCGTTCGATATAAGTATCAATTTTTGCTCTTTCAGCCACTGCTCATCAGCCAAACCAAGCTTGGGGGAAATGGTTCTCCAGCCCCAGCTAAAAAGCGTTCCATCGAGGACGTGGACAGCAGCCCCACAGCTTCCCAGGATGAGCAGCAGAAAAAGCACCGGCCCACACTGCTGGATACCAAGCGCATTAAGAAGCCGAGTCGCTACGAGAGCACCAAGGACGAAAACGAAGGAGAGTCCGGAGAGGAGGAAGGGGAGGAGGAGGAAGAAGAGGAAGATGACGAGGAGGATTCTGAACTGGACGAAGGCGAAGAGGAGGAGGACATCGACAGTGCGGCGGCGGATATTGAGGAAGATGACGACGAGGATGAAGTTGGGGAGCCCATCGAGGATCCAACGATAGAGGTGCGTGGCGAAGGATCAGGACGCGACAATGAGGCCAACCCCCAACATTTTATGGGCGACTATCTTGGCAGCTTTGACTACGAGGACGACCTGGAGCTCAGTGAAGCCATTGCCGATCCGGTGCTCAGTGTGATGGGCGAAGGTTGGGGGTCCGATTGTCTCGTGGGGAATGGAAAAACCGAAGCTCCGGTAGAGGAGACTACTGCGAAGTCATCGGAGCCAAAGGCCACCTTCTTCTTTGGCGAGCCGGGATGTCTCAAGCTGAGTCCCATGAAGCAAACACCAAAGCCGGAGACGAAGCGCAGCATTTTCGACAGCTTGAGCGAGGAGAAAACGAATGGAGAGACCGAAAAGTGCAGGGAGAGCACCCCGCCACGAAATGGCAGCGAGCTCAAAGATACTCCACCAGATGATGATGAAGCTACAGCATCTGCAGCTGCAACCGAAGAGACTAACAAAAGCCAAGAAGCTGAAAAAAATACAATCTCACAAGAACAAATCAAAGAGGAAGAATGCGAGCCAGTAGCTAAACAGGAATTGCAGGAATTTAAAATAAAAGTGATCGAAACGAATGAAAAAATCTCCAAAGGGCAAGATGAAACTGAAGGAGTAGAAGGTGAAGAGACAAATCAGAAAGGAGAAGTCTCAGTCCCACAAAACCACTCAGATGAAGGTGAACCATCCTCATTTAAGAACAAGGATCTGGGTGAAGTTGTAGAAAAAGAGGGCGATGCTATGGAACGTGTGGAAGAAGCGATCACCAGGGAAAATGGTCCTGTCAAAATAGAAAATGAAGTGTCCCCAAAGGATCAGAACAATTCTAATAATGCAGTTGGTGCATGCAATGACAAAGTTTCAAGAGAAACTACACCTGAAGTTACACCTACACCTAATCAAAAGGAAACGAGAACAAAAACTGAATCGGAAACGGTAACAAATACTAAGGAAACAACTTCAAGCCCATCCACAAGTGAAATGGAAATACAATCTGCCCAAAGCACTAATAAATCAAAATCTTCAATTGATGATGTCAGTCTTCTGAAGGAAAATAAGGTTAGGCCAGAGGAGGAAACGAAAAGCTTCGAAAATGCGTCAGAAACGCTTCCGCCTGACAATAAATCCTCCGATCCACCTAAAAATCGGTTAGGACCTAGTAGCGATGAAATCATAATCTGTAACGAGACCATTAAAGTCCATAACTCCTCCCCCGCAGAAGATAAATTAAAGGAACAAGTACAAAAGGAAATGCAAGGTACTTCCAAAAACCCAAAACCCGAAGAAATTAAAAAACCGATAGATAGTGCTGAGCAGCACAAGCCAAATGCAGAGCCACCTTTAACCAGGGAGAAAATTTCAGTACCTAAGCCCTCTACACTTTTAAATCGGAAGAGACGTCTTAATGACTCTCAGCCCGCTCTCAGGAACTCCACCTCCGAAAGCGAAGTGCAGGAGGAGGAACAGCATGAAGATGATCCTACCGCAGATGATCTAGATGTGGGCGGCAAGCGCATTAAGATGCGACCGAAGACCACCAATGTGGAGGCCAGGCGTAAAGTAGAGGCGCAAAAGACGCAGATCGAGGAAACTACTTCGTCCAGCGGCGAGGAGGATGCGCGTAGCCGGCGCAAGATTATAGTTCCTCAGACTAAGCAAAAACCCACTTTAGAGGAAATTATTGAAAAGAAGCTAAAGAAAACGGCAGAAAGGGACTTGCCCGAGAAGAACGACAAGGAGAAGACGCCTGAAAAGATCGCGGAGAAGACTCTGCCACCACCACAGTCAGTTAGAGAAGCTACACCCCCTACCAGCTCCTTTAGTCCCCCAAAGAAATCGCCGATTACCAAGCCGCTAAAGAAAAATCTCCTAACTCAACTGCGTCAGGAGGAGAGTGAGGAGGAAGCTATCCCCAGAAAACGGACGAACAGTGAGACCATCGTGCCTGCCGTTCCTGCAGTTCCCGTTCCCAATGCTACCCTCAGTCACCCGGAGGAACGTCATCGCAAGCGTCGTAGCAGCGAAGATGCCAAGGAGTCCTTTTCCAAGGAATCCTCGCCCAGCGAACCACCTCCGTCAGCCGAGAAACTAAAGCGCAATAACGAGCAGGACATCGAAGAGGAGTTTGAGGATCCACTTGCATCGCCAGTCAGGGATTCTCCGCCTCCTGTTAAGGAGCAATCTCCTCCACCGGAGGGATCTGCTCGTCGTTCTGGTCGCCGAGGTGGTGCTGCTGTCGTTCACTCCGAGCTACCTCAGCCAAAAAGGACGCGAGGTGGAGCCAGGGATAAAGCCCAGTCAGAGGTAAAAGCGGAGGTCAAGCAGGAGTCCGAAGATGAGGATGAAGAAACTGCTAAAGTGTCAGCTAAATTAAAATCGGAGGTCAAAGAGGATCCGGTCAAGGAAACACCATCAAAAGAGAAGTCTTCAGACAAGGATGACATTAAGGAGGAACCTAAAGAGGAGCCCAAAGAGAAGCCAAAGGTGGGTCGGGGACGTGGGCCGCGAAAGAAGCGAGAGGTGGATACCACCAATATCATCGAGGCCAACGACTCGGAGACTCCAGTCCGTCAATCTCGGCGTATTGCCCAGCAAAAGATCAAAGAGGAGGCGGAGCGACGGAAGCAAGAGGAGGTGGCCCTACGAAGCATGAAGCAGGAGCTTAAGAAAAAAAAGAAGGCCGAGAAGGAGGCAGATCCCACAGTGCTGGAGCCCTCGGGCGAGGAATCCGAGTCGGAGGCCAGCGAGGCGGAAGAGGAGGCGCGCAGTAAAAAGAAAAAGAAGTTCCCCGGCAAGGATGGCGCCTGGTCCTCCGATTCAGAAGAGCAACCGGAGAGTGAGGAGGAAGAGGAGGAGCCACCGCACTACGAAACGGATCCCGGTTCGCCGCTCTTCCGCTCCGACCACGAATTCTCGCCAGAGTCCGAGCTTGAAGATGAATCCCAGGCGGTGCCTATGAAGCGGGCGCGCACAGTGCGGAAGGAGAACGCTGATGATCAGGAAGAGGTAAGAATCTTATTTTGGTTAAAAAAAAATAAATTTAATTAAAATTTTGAACAGGAGGATGCAGAGGAAGCGTGTCAAAAGTGCGGGAAGTCTGACCATCCCGAGTGGATTCTGCTTTGCGACACGCCCGCCTGCAACAAGGGCTACCACTGCTCCTGCCTCTCGCCAGTGCTCTTCTACATTCCCGAGGGCGACTGGCACTGTCCTCCCTGTCAGCAGGAGCAGCTCATAACGGCCTTGGAGCGCCAACTGCTACAGTTCGACACACTGGTGGCCCAGAAGCAACAGGAACGGATCTTGGCCGAAGAACAGGCTGAGCTAGCACGGCAGGCGGCCACACTGGCGGCGGAGGACGAAAACTTAAAGAGGGAGAAGGATGAGGACGACGACGAAGATGAGAAGGATGATGAGGTGGTCAGCAAGGCGGAAAAGGTAAAGAGGCGTCGTGGCGATGGACGCAGTAATAGGCGCGCTGCCAAGCGTGGCACCAGACGACGCCGTGGCAACGATTCCGACTCCAGCAATGGCAAATCCGGAGGCAGTGGCTCTGGATCCGGCTCTGGATCTGGTTCCGGCTCAAGCAGCGACAACACCAGCAGCTTCTCGGACTCGGACGACGAACCCATATACAAGTTGCGCAAGCGTCGGCAGATCAACGTGAGCTATCGGCTCAACGAGTATGACGATCTTATCAACTCGGCCTTGAAGAAGGAGATGGACGAGGTAGCGGGAGCAGGGAATCTGGGTCGCGGCAAGGACATATCCACCATTATTGAGGCGGACAAGGATAAGACACGACGAGATGATGAGCCTGCCGAGGGAGAGGTGGATGAGAAGAAAAATGATGAGAAAGCGAAGGAGAAGGCGAAATCTAGCGGCAGTAGCCAGTCGTCGTCTGAGGACGAGGTACCCCTCAAGCGCAACAACAAGTTCAAGCAACCTCCTGCCAAGAAGAAGCCTCGCAAGCTAACCACTTTAGATGTGAGCAGCGAGGAAGATCATGGCAGCGATGAGGATTTCAAGACCTCCAGTTACTCGGACGAGGATACTTCGCAGTCCGGATCCGGGGACTCCGACTCCAGTTTGGAGGTGTACAGGCGACCGGGTCGAGGAAAAAAGCAGAGGAAGGCTGCCAGGAGAGCGGCGCGTGAGAGGCGCAAGGATAGGAAGTTTGTGGTCGAAGGGAGTGACGAGAGTGAAGAGGAGGATCAAAAGCGACGCACTACAAAGTCCAAGAAAAAGAAGAAGGAGGATTCGGACTACACGGAAACCGAAACCGAAGATGACGACGATAATGAGTTGTCCGAAAACGTAGACAGTGCCGATTTGTGCGACGACACCACTTCCGAGAGTGAGGATGGCGCCTGGAATCCTTCGTCCAAGAAGAAAAAGGCGGCGGCCGCTAAAAAGTCAAGTTCGGCAGTTGGCATCGCCAGGAAGTCACCCAAGTTGAAGAAGCCAGTCACCCAACCTGCGAAGAAAGTGAAGCGACTGGAGTACTCCGACGACGACATCAGCGAGAGCGATCTTGGCGAGGAGGAGGATGAGGACGACGAGGATGGCGAGGGTGCACCCTTGTCGGGCAAGGGATCTGGCAAGCAGCCCCGTTCCCAGCCTCTGAAATCGAGTGCATCCGCATCGCAGGCAGGCAAGGGAAAGGGAAAAGGCAAGGCCAAGAAGAAAAAGCCGGCGTCCTCCGAGGAAGAGGATGGCGCAGCTTCCGATGATCGTACTCGCACCCGTGGACGCCGATACGCCTACATCGAGGATGGTAAGTACTTAATGTGATAACTTTTATCATCTACTTTAATTATATTTTCAATCCAGACGACGACAGCTCTGATGGCGGCATCAAACCCGGCGTCCATCGGCCAGACACGCCACCTGAGGAGCGACAAAAGTTCATCCAGCGACAGGAGGAGATCAAGCGTATGCTGGCAGAGAAGAATGCAGAAGGTGCCAAACTGGCGGCTACACCACGTCTCACACCCATTAAGTCGGGCGCCACGGTGCCGGAGAAACGTACACCGGGCAAGACAGCTGGCGGGGATTCGCTCTCAACGGTACCGCTCTCAGTGATTCGGCAGGCCAAGGTGCTGGACATCGATTACCTGCAACGCAAGGGAGAGACAATTGGCGATCTGGACGACGTAGACGAGTCGGAGCTGGATGACGCTGAGCTGCCCGACGACTTGCCGGAGGACATGGAAGACGCCATTGCCCGAATGGTTGAGGAGGAAGAGCAGTTCAGCGCGGCGGTGGCCGCTCGCGAGTTACCTGGAGCAGAGGAAGTTCTGCGCACTACACCCTCCAAGTCCAAGCAATCCAGCAAGCCAACGCCCGAGGCGACGCCAGCATCGAATCCTACTCCCGTACACAGTGCATCTGGTTTGCAGGAGCCACACCGAAAGCGTCTTCCCATGCCCACCATGCATCCGCCGCTTTTGCGCCATCCGTTCCCCGGCCATGGGCATCCTTCCGCGTCCCTGCTGCCCCCACACCCTCCTCACGGAATGCACCCAATGCTACAGCGCCATCTGTCGCAGACTGTTCCCCCACCACAGGCCATGCATCTGCTGCAGAACGCCCTCTCCGCTCCTCTTGGTCAGCCGCTGGGCTGTGGCAATTATCCTACCGGCCCCGGAGCTGCCCAGCACCTGCCTCTGGTAATGTCCATGCCATCTGCCGCGGCGGCGGCGGCCGCTGCTCATCTTATGCAATCGTCGGCCGCCTCGGCTGCAGTACGTCCACCCGAGACAGCAGCGGGTAACACGGCACCTGATTCCAAGCCAAGAGGCAGACGGAAAAAGGTGACACCACTCAGGGATCAGTTGCAGAAGCAGCAAACGGCGGCGGCTGTTACGGCGGCCACATCCTCATCAACTCCGGGACCAGTTCCTCCGGAAAAGGGCAAGGGACAGCCACTCTTCAAGCCGCACGAGGATGCTGCCGCCAGTCCGCCCAATCCGCAAGCCTCTGTGATCACCCGGATGCCGGCGCACCTCCCTCCGCCACATGGAAGAAGTCACGGACCCCCCGGTGGCATGTATCCCAGCAGCGCAGAACTGGCTCGATTCTACAGCCAAGTGGCTAGCCAGCAATCTAGCCCTGGCTCCCGTTCCCCCTCATCGCCGTCTGGACCGCCTAGACATCTCCTGCGACCACAGATGCCGCCTGGTTTGCCTCCAGCCCACGCATCCCTGCGACCCACCTATGGACCGCCGCCGCCACTGCGGGGATCGGTGCCACCCACATCCACGGCAAGCGGCGGAGCGTCCAATTCAAGGCCGCCTTACCTTCACGGAGCCGAGCATCACGGTGGACCTCCTGGCCCACCCTTGGGAGGAGTCTTCGGCTCGGGACCGCCACCAGCTAGGCATGCATCGTCTCATCTGAACCCCTACAGGTGAGCTGGATTGTTTTTGTAATTGTCAAATCGATTTAACAACTGATTTTTCCACAGGGCACCCCCCATTTATGGCAATCCCAACTACTCGCCTCGTATCGGCGGACCTCCAGGTCCTGGTGGTATGCGCCCAGGATCTGTTGACTACGCGGCCGGAGCACGTAAGCATCTTAGTAAAATAGTCTTCTTGGTCGGTAGCGTCTCATTAAGCGGGAAAGGGAACAGTTCTGCTCAGCCTTTGCCGGCACACGTACAGCGTAGCACAGCGGTTGGCACACACACGTCGATTAGTTGCCCCGTGCAATTTAACCACACAGATGAGAAACAATATCTCATCGCGTTGTGCGCCGACCGCTGAACACTGTACGCGTGGCGGCAGAGAACGAGGAGAGCTATTCCGTATGCTCGTTTAATGGGAAGTTACCAACTGCTGCATTTACAAATATTTAGAAATATGGACTCATTAATTTTATTCACTTTATATTTTGCAGGTGGATATTCCCCATATGGCTACTATCCGCCGCCCCCACCGCTAACCACTCCTTCTGCCCATGCGGCGCCAAGTTCGGTGATTGTAAGTGCTCCGCCTGCGGTGACGCCAACGAATCACTCGGTGACCACTCTGACGCACGGAAAGACCCTGCCCCCAGCACCTCCAACACCAACGGCTGGTCCACCACCCGCCGCAGCACCTCCAGCAGCAATACCCAGCGAAGCCGGTAGCCACAAGCCATCAGTGACCTCTGTGATAACCAGCAAAAAGCTGACCACCCTGGAGGCGTACCCCATTAGGAAATCCCCGATCGCTGCAGTGGGTGAGGTGACGATTCCGGCGGAATCCACAAGTTCACCGGCTGCCATCGCCGAGGACGACTCGGGATCGGCCCATGACACCAGAGCTCCACCATCCGCAGCGGGAGCACCTGCCGTGGGCGAGTTTAGTGGTTTGGTTAGCTACTTTAGCTCGCAACAGGATGATTATGACACATAACAAACGCCACCGGGCGCATAAAAGAATTTGTATATATTGATTTTTAGAGTTACAAATTAAATTACATAATAGACGTAGCAACCCTGGCAATAATTTATCCTTAAAAGCTTTGTGTTTAATTCGTACTTCAGCAAAAGAAACCTGGTCCAAATTCTCTTAAAAGTTGTCCAAAGATACTTTTTATGCCGCGTTTGGCAATCACTTGATGTTTTACTAAAATGTTTTACAAAACTTTAAATTTGTATATTCGTTTGATTTTTACTTTCACTCTCAGCAGCTTTCTTTTTAATTAATTTAGTTCCCTTGTTTGTGCTCTTACTGTTTAGCTGACATCCAGCATCAACTACTTTTAGTATTCTGTACATTTTTTGAACTCTATCAAAATATGCGTAAGTTATTATGACACATACCATTAATATTATATGAACATAAAAGAAACTAATGATCATAAATAAATATAGTCAATAAACATAAACTTAATACAATGCAAAAGCTTGTCTGCGTAGACCTGTACACAAATTATAGTTTGAGTTAATTAAATAATTAAGCAATTGAAACGATAATGCAGTGCATAATTCAAAAATTAAACATACGTAACCATTATAATATAACGCAAATGGTATACTAAAATCAAAGATGGACAAGAACCTAATGTTCATAATAAAACTATATATCATTAGTTGCAACCATTAAAAAACATCGTTTTTAATGTAATAATGAGTTATTTCGGCACACATTTTTGGTGATAATTTCATAATGAAAGAACGTGTTCCGGAATGCATTTATTTCCGACTGGGTAGGAATACATCTATAAGTATATATGAATATTCTGAATCAGCTTCCATCTGCCTGACAGTTTTTAGGCGATTACTCTCATAGTTGCAGAGCTACGATGACGAAATGTTCACCTTTTGAAGTTTAAAAAAGGTAAGTTTTGGTCAGCCTTGTAAATATTTTCATATCTTAAAGCTGCCCAAAGAAGCGTAAAGAATATATAGGGATATATTTGTTTCTGTTTTGATTATAATTTCATTTATATATTTTATAGCGAGCTGCCCAAAAGAACTTGTCGGAATTAAGGAGTTTCTATTTTATTTTATTTTTTTTATATTTTGGGAACAGCGAATTTTTCAGGAGGTGTTTATGGTTTTTTGTTTTAAAGCTCTCTAACCGCTTCCGCTCCAAGTACACTAATCCATCAAGCAGCGCCAAGAGTGCGCTTTCACACAATCCTCAGTTGAAGACACGCTCCACCGACGCTTAGTCCTGATACATCTAATTAACTATACCCAACCGTTTCTTTCGTGGATTTTTTGATGACGAAACTCGAATTCTGGATATGTTATAGTGGGGAATACAATGTGATGTACTTGAAAACGCCGTCAATTTCGATGTGGCAGCGACTCATGGGGAGCAGAGCAAGAGGAAGTAGAGTATCTGGCCATCTGCGACATCTATTCGGGAATTCGATGGAGAAGTCGACGATGAGGCCGCCGCGACTGATGGAGCAGTCCCAGGCCCACGTCGACAACTTGGGGTTCGTTCTTCGGGACAAGCCTCAGCCGATCTTCCGCCGGGAGGGGTGCGATCTATGCTACACAGATCTGATTTCGCTGAAGCAGGCGTTGTGCGATACCCTCCTGGAAGTGCCGACGCTCTTGGGGGAGCTGATGGATCTGTCCACCCAGAGTGAGGTGATCAGCGCGGACTCCATGCACCGCTTCCCGGGACAGGGACTGTCCCATCCGATAAACGGCTCGTGCCGCGGCGACCTCATCGTAGACTTTCCGATTGAGATTACGAAAACGATGTCACAGAAGGGCAGTTCCCCACTCTAATTCCTCTTGCCCTGCACCCCATAAGCTTGTAGTCTTATGGGGAGCAGGGCAAGATTAACTAGAGCGAGGATCTGGCCCACTCTGACATCGTTTTCGGAAACTCGATCGGGAAGTCGACGATGAGGTCGCCGCGCACGGGCCTTTTGGGGCATTCCCAGACCCGAGAAGCGGCGCGTCGAGTCCGTACTGATCACCTCATCATGGGTGAAGAGATGCAGCGGCTCGCCCAGGAGCATCGGCACTTGCAGGAAAGTATCACACAGCGCCTGCTTCAGCGAGATCAGGCCCGTGAAGCGGAAATCACACCACTACCGACGGAAAATCGGGTGTGGGTTGGCGCACAGTAGGGCACCACGTCGCCCTCCTTTGGAAAGATGATACTGGTGTCCCCTTCCAGCCCGGAGATATCGCGATGTTCAGTGGCTTCTCCCGTTGAATCACACGGCCGCTTGATGGCGAGATGGTTTTTCCTCCAGTGTCACAAAAAGATCATATTCTTTCGCCGGAGTCTTTGGCAGGCGGCCACTCTTTGATCCTGGTCCAACCACTGTCGTCGTTGTCGGAGAACTCGGAGTCCATGGTTCTAATAGATTTCTAATTAATGGTCTGAGAATTTAAAATAAGATGCACTTTTTAAAATACCTTGAAAATATGTTGTACGATTAGATCCAAAGGCACAAATTGGTTAAACAGAAATGTCTACGGTGTCTATGGCTATAGCTTGTCACAAAAAATTTAAAATAAAATAATTTAAAATAAGATGCACTTTTTAAAATACCTTGAAAATATGTTGTACGATTAGATCCAAAGGCACAATTTGGTTAAACAGAAATGTCTACGGTGTCTATGGCTATAGCTTGTCACAAAAAATTTAAAATAAGATGCACTTTTTAAAATACCTTGAAAATATGTTGTACGATTAGATCCAAAGGCACAAATTGGTTAAACAGAAATGTCTACGGTGTCTATGGCTATAGCTTGTCACAAAAAATTTAAAATAAAATAATTTAAAATAAGATGCACTTTTTAAAATACCTTGAAAATATGTTGTACGATTAGATCCAAAGGCACAATTTGGTTAAACAGAAATGTCTACGGTGTCTATGGCTATAGCTTGTCACAAAAAATTTAAAATAAAATAATTTAAAATAAGATGCACTTTTTAAAATACCTTGAAAATATGTTGTACGATTAGATTCAAAGGCACAAATTGGTTAAACAGAAATGTCTAAGGTGTCTATGACTGTAGCTTGTCAAAGGGACTAACTTCGATTAATTTTCGACTTAAGACAAGTCAAGACTTCATTTTTAGCACATTATACCCTCTGCACACAGCCGCTTAAAATTGCAACAGCAATTCTTGTTAACATAGAAAATCGCTGAGGCGAAGAGCAGATCGGCAAAGGCAAACACAAGGGAGTTTTCGCATCAGCGACCGAATTCCCCTGGGGGGATTTTTCCCTCCATAAGAAATATACTTGTAGGAAAGAGACGGAAAAAGGCGCTATAACTCGCTGCAGCGGAAAATGGGACCGCACACACAAGTCGATTTAGTATTCCACTGATTTATTCAGTATTTTTTAAAGAAGGAAATGCATTGGAACTGCAATGGCGCCGTTAGGAGGAAATTGTTGTTTGTGCAGGCCCAAGGAGCCTCAGGAATCCACTTAAAAGTGCAACAGCGATTCTTAAGCGGCTGTGTGCAGAGGGTAATAGATCCTTAAGCCTAGTACTCACATCGACGAAAATCACGAGCTAACCATAGGAGTGAGGTCAGTTTTTTAGCGCGGTACTCAGATGATCTACGGAAATACCAGAAAAAATACCAGATTTAGCAAGAGAATTTCGATGAACGCCGTTAGCCGCGGCCCAAAGAATGGCGGTGTTTGTGCAAAACCATTGTGGAAACAAAAAATTAAAAACGGAAGAAAAACCCCAAAACCCCTGCAGAATGTCAGTGCAGATAAAAAAGGACACCTAATCCAAGCTCTTGCTTATTACTGTGGGACTTCATCGACAGGAAGCAATACCACAACAGGGAAAATCCGCAGAATAGTTGAAGTGATGGAGGAGATCCACTAGAGAATCCCAGGGGGAAGAAACACTGGGAGTGGAACTTCGCCCCCTACATGAACATCTTGCCGGGCGTGTCCTCGCAAAGCAAGGAAGAAAAAAAAAAAAATTGGGTTACGTTGTGCTAATAGAAGTATCTTTTAAGCAGAACGATCTCCGACAAGCTCTCCATTGGGAAACCACATGACCCTACCTCCACCAGCTTTTTGGCAGCTAAAGCGGATGCGGCGTGTCCTCAGCCGGCTTTTATAGGGAGGAGGGCGTCCGCTAAGGTACAGCTGAAGAAGCCATTGCCAGGATGCTGACCGACTTCCTGCAGCATCAGGGGAAAAAAACCCCGTTCCCAATCCGGCTCTCACTTTCTCAAGGTCCAATATGGGACTCGGAGCTGGACTATAGATGGCGCGGGAAAGATAGCGAAGCATCCGAGGGACGAGAAGGAAGCCCTGAACTTCTAACTTACAAACTTTCGTTTAACATTCCGTATATTTTAATTTTAATTTCTTTGTGCACCAACAAACTCTTATTTTTTAAATTGCTCCAGTTGATTTGTTTTCCGTTTAACAACAAGCCCAGCTGCTTGACAGTAAGATCATGCCACATGCATTGCGGGTGAACTTTAAAAACTTCGGTCACAATACAAAAAATAAGATTTATCGACTAGTGAATCTCTTAGCCGATCTGAGTAGCTTTAACTAAGCTAAGCAATTTGCATATCCTTGGATAACTTATTAGGGCAATGCCTACTAATACGGGCAAAAAGTATTTTTTTGATATTTTTTCGGTGTATTTTAAAGTTGACTTAAAACTATTTATTTTAAGCTAAGATTAAATAGAAGCTAACTTACCAAACTTAAAAAAAAGAAACATGTTTTTTTTAGCTTCAAAGTGTAGGACTGCCGCGTACGATTGTAGAGAACTAAACATACTTTTGGATACTCGGGAATTATGATTTTAAAAGTTAAAAAAACGCTCGATCTTATCCACAAAGTATGAAATGTTTTCTACTTTATGGGTAAAGTTTGATTTCGTAAAAAATACCTAAACAGTTAAACTTCGTTTAAAAATGGTTTTCGTTTTTGAAAAAGTTTAAAGTGAGGATTTTAGGGAATTGATAACAAATAATTTTCTTGGAAAACCGTTACTTATAGCTCTGTTATTTGAAA